CTATCTAGAGGTTCTGCCGAGACTTGAACTCGGATCCTTGGATTCAAAGTCCAAAGTGCTTACCATTACACCACAGAACCAGCTGTAAATTAACTCGACTGCTTAAATATCGGCGCATGTTTGCAATTTTAAAGATGCACTGCACGTAAGAGGACGCTTGCGTTCATTAAGATTTCTTTTTTAGAAGCATCAATTCAAAAGCAGCGCGTGCTTGTCAGGTTGGCCGAGCGGTCGAAGGCGCCAGACTTAAGAGATTGACGAGTCTTCTGGTCCACATTTGTGGGCGTGGGTTCGAATCCCACACCTGACAACATAGATTTTCTTGCCCCGCCCTTTTTTTGTATTAGATTTAATCCATGTAAAAATGATGGAAGATGAATGCCCAACGAAGAGCGTTGATGGTGTAACGGTTAGCATTGCTGCCTTCCAAGCAGTAGATCTGGGTTCGATTCCCGGTCGACGCAGTTTTCACTTTTTATGGAATTTCCACCGTTTTCCTTGCGATGTAATATAACACTTTTTATGAGCCCGCCACATCTTCATTTAACATTTTTGGGAAAAGGTAGCGTGGCCGAGTGGTCTAAGGCGCTGGTTTAAGGCACCAGTCATTTCGATGGCGTGGGTTCGAATCCCACCGCTGCCATTTGACTTTAGCCATTTGACTTGGAATACTGGTATTGTTACTATCGAAAATGTTAGTTTTCGAACAAGAAAGCGTCCTTTTTGCAAATTACACCTTCTGGTAATACTCCTACAAAAATAATACTCCGAAAAAACGCGTTCCGGTAGTGTGGCCGAGTGGTCTAAGGCGCTGGTTTCAGGTACCAGTCATTTCGATGGCGTGGGTTCGAATCCCACCACTGCCAAGTTAGGGGACGTTTTGGCTTTGAAGCCATCTAGAAAATATTAAAATTTGGGAATAAATACTTTCAACATTTTGTCGTGTAAAATCGTGTTTTAAAAACTCAAGCCCGCGTGGTTTTCTGCTGCAGACTGTATAGCACAATAATACAGCTATGCTCGCAATGCATTATGGGATATGTAGTATAATTTTCGGCGCGAAGTACAACTGATTTAAGAAACAGGTAAAATATGTAAGTCTTCAAGCAAGTTAGGATCTAACGATTTCGGAATAGTAGAGGAATAGATTGAATGATGTAACTAGCGAATATTTTGGCAAATTTTGAAAATGTTTAATAATACTTGCTTGCAGACTTTTAACATACTTATTACTTAACGATAACTGTCTCCCATACTTCATCAACTAGCGTTACGTTTTAATCATGTCGCTAGTAAGCACTTCTATCACACAGTTCTTGGTGTGACAAGGATCGGGATCACAAGTCTTTATGATGTCTTCACCCAACATGTTATCGTTAAGTTCTTAATTGACGGCGGCACGTTTACATACTATACTGCCTGCCATCTTTGCGAACCGCTTATCGAGAATTCCTGAATGACAATTGTGAAATTCCTTAGTTTTCCCAAATTTCCTGGAATAACTTGTGACGTAACCGTGCGAGGGAGGGGCGGGGTGTCGGCGTTTCCCCCGGGGAAATTGAAGGTGGGCAAATTAGAAACGTAAGTTGAGCAAACAGCTGGCAAATACAAATTTTAAAGGATTAAGAATACGTAATATAAATTAAATACGAAAATGGAAAAAATCTTTAAGGTTTCGAAAAATCTTAGAATTTCGAGAATGGGAATTTTATATATGGATTTTTTGTTAATTTAATTAATTAATCGGGCAAATTTAAAGATGTTAGATGTGAAACCAGGATTCATATTAAGAGTTTCAAAACGTTAACAGGTTAAAATATTTATATGGACGAGCTTTGGACTGCCAGTCTGCAGTCTTCGACGAGCAGATTAAAGTGAGTGGTGCATGTGTACACCATGACTGGTAGTCGAATGCTCGTCCAAATAAATATTTTAATGCGTGAACGTTTGAAACTCTTAATAATCGGGCAAAATTCAAAGAAATCGGCAAATTCCTTTTGTCCCGCTAATGTTTTGTTTCCATACGCCTATGAGGAAGACTTTCACTTAGTTTTAATTAAGTTTTAAAGATTTTTTGAGGAATTCTAACTTTGTAAGAAATTGCGAAAACTTTGTCACAGTTAAGAAAATTGTGTTTAGATACTCGCTTCGAGAATGCGACTATTTTGGATTAAATTGTTAAATTGGAAAAATTTGTTACCGTGCTACCGTGTAAGCGTGAAACTGAGATATACGAGAATTGGAAGAAACTAGAATTAGCCAAGTATTTAAAGTAACCATTTAATTCCATGTATAACTACAGGGTGTATAAAAAAACTGAACAGATTTGAAATTGCTCTCAATTTCGCAAAACAGCTATTAGTATCCAGTTTTTGATGTATATAGCTTTCTTGGGAACTTATAATGTAGAATAATGAAAAAAAAATTCTCGAACTCAAATTTTGTGAACCAGGCCGGGGGGGGGGGGGATCTTTTCCAAGAAACTAAAAATGGCTTGCGCACGAAATTTAAAAGCTCTAATCATATTTGAGTTAATTGATGGAAAATTTGTTGGGGTTTTAATTACTGTACAAAATTTCAGACAAGTTGCTTTAGTTAAAGGTCAGAGGTTAAAGGTAGTTATTCACGCAAACTTACATTTTTTTCTAAAAATCAGCTATTTGCATACTTAATTAATGCCTTTGGCTAATTTGCATATGTCAGCAATATGCAAATTAGGTAAAGGCATTAATTAAGCATGCGAAAGGCTGACTTTTTAGAAAAAAATGAATAGCTAAAGAGCCTAAACTAAAGCAAATTCTCTGAAATTTTGTACAATAATTAAAAACCCACCAAATTTCCATCCCAAAATATGATTAAAGCTTTTAAATTTCGTGCGGAAGCCATTTTTAGTTTGTTGGAAAAGACACCCCCCCCCCCCTGGTTCTCAAAATTTGAGTTCGAGAATTTTTTTTCATTATTCTACATTATAAGTACCAAAGAAGCTATATACATAAAAAACTGGATACTAATAGCTGTTTTGAGAAATTGAAAGGAATTTCAAATCTGTTCAGTTTTTTTATACACCCTGTATAGTTCTGCGCAGGAACTCGGTATAAAACGGCCGATTTTTGTGGTAACGTAAGTATCTACCTGATATAAACATGTTTTTTTATAAGCTCTCTGGAACAAAAGTTATATGTTTTTATAAATGCTGGTCAACACTATCAAAGTTTCTGTGATCACAGCGGAAATTTTGGATAGGTAAATTCTAAGTTTTGAAGGTTCTGTAAGAAATATTTGAGAGAACTGACTCAGTGTTTAGTAAACACCAAGTCAATAATCAATTCACTTAAATATTTCTGGCAAATCTTTAAAATCTTAGAATTTACCTATGCAAAATTCCTACTGCGATCACAGAAACTTCGATAGTGCATGTACACCCGCCTTCACCGGCCTTAACTTACAGGGCCGTAGGAAGCTCTTTTTGTTCGGGGGACTGAAAGCGAGGGCCGAAGACCCGAGGAAATTTTCAAATTTAGAATCTCTGAAATGCCATTTCCTGGACTTTGGGAAGATTTGACAAAATTCGGATGGTCAGAAAACAGTGTTTTAATATGTCAACATATACAATTTAGTTGTACTTAATGGGCGAAGGCGTATTTAAGTTAACTATATTTTGGATAAGTTGCAGGAAAGTATGAGTAATATCTTCATTCTTTGCACTTTTGCATGGATTAAATGATAAAGGTCTGCATGATTTTGAAAAAAGAATGATTATTAGCAAATTATTGGGGGGGGGGGGGCTGCAGCCCCCTCCCCCCAGTTGCTACGGCCATGACTTATTCTTTAATAATTCACCGATCATATTATCACCAGGAAATTTTTAACAGAATATCTTTGTATGACAATCTTACATACTGAAATTCCATATACCTGTAATTTACTTATTATTTACAAAAGCATTTTGGAAGTCGAGATTGAAGTTTATCAACACTGTGCTGCACCATAAATCCTCTGAAATCTACATATGCAGAAAATTTTATATTTGAGTTCCACAGAAAATTTTTACTTTTGCTGCCAGGAAGAGAAATACATTTTCTAAGCCTGGTGCCTTGGTACTGCATGTTTGTCGTTGAAATCAAACCGACGACAAAACCTGATAATACAGGGACGGGGGGGGGGGGCTCTCAAATGCCATGCAAGCGAATATTTTGACGTGTGTCGCAGGTTCCGTAGTATCGCATAAATAGCTGACCAATCAATAAGCCAATTGAAATATGCTATGCGAACGTAGTTTGGAGAAGCACTTTTAAATCTGAATCATGTAAGAAACCCAGTTGAAATCTCGCAAGATTAACGTCTTCGGACGCAACTGCATTGGTGCAGCGAAGCGCAAAAATTGCCGTGCCCAAATGAAGTTTGGCATCGCTTAGAGTTCGCTGCGCGAGTTTGTTAAGCCGGTTACAGACGAGCAAGTTTTCTATGACAAGTTTCTATGTGACAAGTTTCTATGTGACAAGTTTTATTTGCCAAGTGCACGTGTGATATGCAACAAATTTTGTATGACAAGTTTTCATATGACAAGTTTTATTTACTGGTGTGAACGTGTCAACAAAGTTTACTTTGACAATTTATCAGTAGCCAGGCCAATCACGGCGCTGGTCAATCACATCGAATGCTCAGATTACTTTGACAAGTTTTCTTTGTTCACCCATACAGACGAACAAAATTTGTACTTTGACAATTTTTTCTATGACAAGTGCACTTGTTCAAACGCTGGCATGCTAGCTTTTGAACAAGTGCATTTGTCATAGAAAAAAATGTCAAAGTTGCGCGTACAGACGAGCAAATAAAACTTGTCACATAAAAACTTGTCATAGAAAACTTGCTCGTCTATAACCGGCTTTAGTCTGCAGCCTCGAACCCAGGCTCTTTGGCGTACTATGTCATCGCGTGACATGCGCGTGGATATTATTAGCCGATATCCCTCGAATGGAGTTTGTCTGTTAATCATAAGCCTTATTGGTATTTATTAAAAAAATAGCATTTTGCGCTTCTGTTGCATGCACTTGTTTGAGCATGCTGTAGGGCACTTTAATAAGTCAACAAGACTCTGTTTGTAATGGATAAAGAGCTGTATATTAGTAAATCTACATAAATAATTTATTGATTATCGTTAATTTTTTAGGCTGATTATGCCGCCTCGTGAATGGGAAATTCACGAGGCCATCTTTCACCTCTTCTTGCCATTGTGTTCATCAACATATACTTTTTGTACGGTATAAATAAACGTCGAGCTAAAAGATGAAATAATTTTCCCAATATCCTGGAATCTCGTTCGGCCAAATTTGGTATGCACTCGTCACAAATGCGGCCAGTTTCGCCTTTCGTGGTTGCAAGAATAGTTGAGCACACTCTGAAAGAAAAAATGTTGAAAAGTGATATCTAATAGATCGCGCACGTGGAGGTAATAAATTTAATGAGGGTGCTAAGCATTATAAGTGAAATAGCTGAATATAACTGAATTTGTGTGTTTTTGTTCATTTAGCTTTGTTTATATAATTGATTTTGTTGTTGCTAACGGGATCACGCGACAGAGTTTACAAAGATTCCAACGTAGCCAATTGGAATGCGACTTTCCTCGGGGACTTGTAATCGGAGGTCCCATTAAGAAGCTTAATTTGTCCCTCAATTTCCCCACAATGCCACCCTATTTTATGGAAATTGCTAGATAGTATACTTCAAAATAAGGTTTCCGTTTTTTTTCAATTTTTAAAATAAGTTAGGGTTAGGTTGGAGTTAGCGTTGGGGTTAGTGTTAGGGTTTAGTTTTGCGTTAGGATAGCTTTTTCTACGTTATAAAAACGGAAGCCTTATTTTGAAGTATACTATATTTTTATATATAAGGCCAAGTGAAAAAAATAGTAGTTTCTCGTCCCCGTCCGCATCCTTTTTCCCTGCCGCATGAATTTTTTTTATGTTTTATATTCAAGGTTTTAAAGAATTTCCACTTAGTATATTTCGCTCCTTTCGGCATAGTTCGGTTGCCGTTCGGAAATTTTCGTCAACTCTAAATTGAATTGAATTTATTAATAGCCATCCTTGGGATTTAAAAATACGATGGATAAGATTTACATTGAGTCATAATAAATAAGATGAATAATTACAGTTAAAAAACTAATATTAAAAAGGCTAAGTTAAAAGACGTGAAGTTGAATGTTATCAGATTTAAGGTACGTTTATACGCTGCGATTTGTCGGGCCGATTTTGCTCGCTGTATGCAAATAACCTGTCGCGAGTACTCGCGTCAGCACCTTGCGATTCACAAAATCGGGAGAAAAATCTGTAACACTAACACTGACTTTTCCACGATTCAACGATTTTTCTTCCGTTGTAAAGTTGTTGAAAACTTTTCGCACGCAGAAAACTATAATATGAACAGACGAGAGAGCGGACAGCTTCAATTGAACGTTTAAATCGCTAAATGTCGAAGAAGGGGCATCGATTATTTACCAAAATCGGCCCGACAAATCGCAGCGTGTAAACGTAGCTTTATATATATTTACTAGATCTTGCAACAAAAGATTGCCTATGTCTCTCGGTTCTAGATAAAACTGTGCAAGAATGATTTTGTCTAAGTTCATAATTGTTTTACACTGGCTGTAACAGTATTGTGGACGACTGGAGCGAGATCATCACTAAAACGCTTGAGTATCCAGGCAGGAATTTTGTCTACTCCGGTCGCTTTCCTGGGGTTTAGATGTTTTAGACAGTTCTTGACTTGTCCAATAGATGGCTACGGAGGTGTAGACTGTAGTGTTCCTGAGTAATTGATCCATCAGGTTAATATCTAATTCGTTATTGGGTGGTAGATTTTCCCAGGGTTTTATAAAAGCCTGTTGTAATTTTTCAGCCAGTCCTAATATATTATCATCGGACGTTTTTCCCAATGGGTTATTTCCGTTCTTAATTCCTAGAAGCGAGAAGATGGACTTAAACCATTTAGCTGAATTTGTTGTGCGAAGATCTTTTGCTTTTGATCTGTAATAGGACGTTTTAGCCTCGGATATAAGTCTTGAGATGGTAACGCATAATTGTTCATATCGCACATGATCAGTACGAGAGAAAGCACGCTGTCTAGCTTTAATCTTTGTTTTGATGAAGCTTGTCATCCATGGTTTATCCGAGGGGTGCATTCGGACTGTTCTTTCTGGAATAGTTTCATCCATAATTGTGAGTATAGTTGAAGTAAAACTTTTACTTTCTCATCTATCTCTTCCGCGACGTATATACATCAGACCAGTCTTCAAGTATAACTTTTCTACTTAGAACAGCTAAGTTTCCAGGCGTCAATAGTCTTAAATGTCTGGGGTAGGCTGGTAGTCAGTTTCTCTTTCTGTTTTGGTACAAGGAGAAGGCATTGGTGATCAGAATGCCCAAGTGCATGGTGGCAGATGGAGCGTCGGATTGCACATGTCTCGCATATTCGTCAGGACTTGGTCCAAGGACCAAGTTGGTTTGCTGTTCGGTATTTGCGCCCGCTGTTCGCGCCATATTGTTATTTTGGCGCCATATATTGCATTAGTACACGGCTGTTTGTTTATTTTAATATATTTACGTTTTATGAGTAAACTTCAATATTTGCGTGTGTTTATAGGTTATTTGGTAAACTTTAAGAGCAATATTTGAAGGTTTAACAAAAGCGCTCGCATTCTCCTTTTTTTAAAAAAAATTCGGACGAGAAACTACTAATTTTTTTACTTGGCTTAATAGTGCGTTAAGCAAGCGCCGTCTTGTCAACACGTACGTCCACCCGAAACTTGGTATTAAATAATTAAGACGAGGTGATTATCGGTGAATAAAAATCGAGACGAAGTCGAGGTTTTTGTTGACGATAATCACCGAGCCTGAGGTGAATAATTGTTTTAGTATAATTTCATAGGTGATTATTTGGGAAAAACGCCCCCAAAACACACATTTCCTCGTCATTTAATTGACAAAACGGCTTAGACCGCCTTTTCGAAAATCGATTAGGTGATTATCGCGTTATAATCACCTCGACGGCAACCAATTAGCGAAGAGAATTTTCAATAATCACCTATGTAACCATACTAACAATTAACAATCATTCGCCGAAGGCGAGGTGATTATCGGTGAATGAAAACCTAGACAAACTCGAGGTTTTTATTCACGACAATCACCAAGCCTGAGGTGAATAATTGTTTTAGTATAATTTCGTAGGTGATTATTTGGCGGGAAAATATTCATTTCTTTAACATTTAATTGACAAAACGGCTTTGGCTGCCATTTCAAAAATCGCTTAGGTGATTATCGCGTTATAATCACCTCAACGGCAACCAATCAGTGTGAAGAATTTTCATTAATCACCTAATGTAATTATACTAATCACTATTATTAATAGGCTGTTGCGGTATATCGATATACCGATAATTATCGGTTTTTTATAAATACCGATTATCGATCTTGAAATTTTCGATATATAGAGGATATTACACGGCGGCGCGAAGATATAACTTTTTATCTTCGAGTGGTGAAAACAATATTTTTATTACGAACGAGCGCAGTGAGAGAGTAAAATATATTTTTTAACACGAGAAGATAAAAATCATATCTTCAAGACACCGTGTAATGTTCTGTTTATTATATAGTCCCAAGCAAAAAAAAATTGTATAAAGACTACAAGTCACGTGATCGATATCTTCACTAGTGAAGATATGGAAAATATCTCACTGTGTATTTTTCAGTATCTCACTATCTCTATATAATATATCGGAATATCGATATTTTCGGTATTATCGATATCACGTTTACGCGTTTGTATATTTATAAACGTCATAACAAGCTTTTTCAAGCGCTGATTGGATTTATTTCAGAAAGAGAAAAATAAGCAAATTTTGCATAAAATTAGGCAAATATCGATATTTTTCCGGTATCGGTTTTCGTTTTTTTTTTCAAATACCGCAACAGCCTAATTATTAATTTTAAAAACTTTATTATTTTTGGTATAACTAATTTTGGCTGCATTTTGCATCATAGCGCTCATAATAGCGCTCTCGTTAATCTGACAACCGTGTTAATAAAAACGTCGTTTGCATTAACCTCCCTAATGTGTGACTACGCACGCCTTATTGGTGCCATCTTGTTTGACTCAAAAGTTTACCTTAACTGTTACTTAGCAAAGTAGTAAATTGAAAGTAATTGCCAATTCGTGATTTGTTTTTGCAACATCGAACCGTGTCATGGATAGAAGTTAATATGACGTAACTCTATCTAATCTTTGTTGATTTTCAGAAGAGAAAAAAATTCATTTGTTTCTTATTTGTTCGGAAAGGGGCTTTACTGGCCTTCGGGAGAGAACATTTAGACATTTTATGTATACAGCCAATTCAGAAAAGGTTCTCCTTTGCAAACCTTAAACTCCATATCACAAAGAAATGGGCCCCATATGTGATTTCTAAACTGATTAAGTTGCTCCCATTATGCTTTGCGCGCTTAGAGATCAAGGTTTAAGGTTTAGAGTTTAAGGTTCGCAAAAGACAACCTTTTTTGAATTAGCTCATGTATAATTTTTCACTTACAGCGTTCTGATGCATCTTCATCCGCTAGTCGACTTTTATGTGGTACTGCACCTAAGAACATTCACAATATCAATGACAGTGTGACGCAATTTGTATAGGCATGTTTCAAGGAGCAATTTGTAAAAAAATCAATGAACAAGTGAGTTTTTCAATTTGAAGTGTTTGACAAAAACCTCAATTGTTTGCTATTCCAAATTCGAAAAGAAACCATTTGTTACGGGGTGGGCAACAAAATCTGTTTTTTTCGACAGGTGCGGGGTGGGCAAAAATATCCGAAACTATCAATAGTTGTGGGGTGAACAGGTCAGGGGTGGGCAAAACATTTGACAGTTTCGTGGTGGGCAAAACATCTGAAATGTTTGACAGGTTCTAAGTGGGCAAAAAATCTGAAATTTTTGACAGATCCGGGTTGGGTAAAAAAGAGAAATTTTTGACAGGTCCGGGGTGGGCAAAACAATTTGAAATTTTTGACAAATTCAAGGCGGGGAAAAAATCTGAAATTTTCAACAGTTCGGAAAAAAATCTGAAAACTTTTCATTGGAAATACGCGAACAAAATCGCCTCGCTCTTAATAATATAACTTAAATGCGGTTATTTTCAATTCATACTTCTGAGAAGATGTAAACATACCTATACTTTGATAAATTAGATCGTTCTTTGCCAATGCCATGAGAAAGCCATAAAATGTTACACGGTTGGCAGATGAGAGGATTTGCTTCAAAGATTCTGAAGGAGGTATACTGTATAAAGGAAAACATATCATACTCTGTGTTGAGTTATTTTCTTTTTCTACCTCTGTTAATTCAAAACACATTTATGTCTCTCGATTCTGTCTGACCCAACTAGCTATCTTTATCAAAGGCATTGTTTTCCAATAAAAAGACACCGAAGATTTTAAAGACCCCAGTTAATATAATTGAATGATTATACCAGCTTTCGATAAAAAAATATTGTCATGTGATTTACCGCATCGCAATATCACATGGGGTAGAAATACGGCGTATTGCTCAATTGTATTTTTGAATAATATTCATCCAAGGCGTCAGTCTAAAGATTGAAATTTTATTACACTAAACGATGCAGGTGGCGTTATTAATATTTGGTGCTATACAGTACATATTCTCACTTTAAGATAATGCAGGCCAAAATGCACTATGTAATATAAATGGAATTGAACAATTCGGTCAGGAATGAACTTTCCTTTGCATAAATGCCAATTAAAATAAATCAAAACAATAAATGTCATTGATTGGGCAGAATAAAAACACAATGGAGCATTTATACGGTCACCAGTTGGATCGTGACTGGTTAGCACTTTAATTTTTAGCAAAGACAGTTTCTTATTTGATGATATTGATTTTGAATTAACGGTTAATATATACATAATCAGTAAAGGATTGAATCCAGAATATCAATATACCTTATTGTCTTTGCTGTAGAGCTGTGATGTACAACATGGTGCAGAATTTCATCATAAAACGACATTGAATCAACTCCATCTAAGCTGTTGCTTGATTCCAGCTGCGAAACTTTCTCCGTATTCTTATGACGTTTGGACTTAGAGTCAGATGTGGGAACGACCACTACTTGTGCAGATCTATGTGAACCACTTGCAATTTCGTCGTAAATCTCGTTGCATTTCGCTAAAAACTCTAAAATAATTTAAGCTAAACATTAACTGTAGTGTGAAAAAAAGGAAAAAGTTTGGGTAATATGTAGAAATAATACCACGTTTTAAACTTATTTCTCATATCATGTTAAATTCTTAAATAATTTATCAAATGAAATATATTAATCCGCATGAGAGTGAGCTATCTGCTATTTTGAATAACAAGGGAAGAGCCTGGGAACGAGGTTGTTTGAATAATTGTGAATGTACATGTTATCATGCAGTCACAACAGAGTCACGCATGTTTCTATCTGAGTGCAACCTACTGGTCCTTGCAAAAATCATTGTGGACAGTGTGGGCATAAAAAGTACTGCACCTGCCTTACCGAATCAAATCCTTGCAAAAAGCAGCAATTTCAACTTGCCCCTCCCACCGTAATTCAACGTTGAAAGCTTATCAATTGGTTAATAGGTTTAACCTTTGTGAAATAAAATACGCCAAAACCAACATTAATCTTACTTACTTACCTTCGTAATATAACTGCATTTGAAAAGCAGACAGAAAATCATTGAAAGACATTAGGCAGTCCATAGCATCTTCCATTAAAACAATTCTATAAAGTCACAAATAAAGTAGTATTGCAGTACTTAAAGCAATACTTCAAATCCGACTATGAGGATTGGACGAGGGCGAAGCCAAGGACTAGATCAAAATGCGAGAACTTGAAATCTAGTCCAGTCCGAATAGGAGGATTTGAAATGACATCTCATACGAATAAATCACGACTTAATTAATTTTGATCCAGTCCAAGGATTCAGTTAATTTTGATCCAGTCCTAGGACAGGATCTATATACTTCAACAGGTATTCAGTGTTATCATGTGGGCAAAATAAAGCAATACGGTTGGCTAATTTACTCATGAATTATTAATGAGTTTGAGATTCAACATTATTATATTCAAACTAAACCCGCCTAATTCAACTAATAGAAATTACACTAAATTAAGTGCATGGTAAGTACACTAGAGGTCGTCAACATTTATACCTTGCAGATTTCTGGACAATCTCGTGTGGAAAGTCTGAACATATCAACGAGAGTAATGAATGATATTCCTTTACACTTAAAAGATCTAAAAAAATCAAAGGGTGATTATTTACGGTAGCAATTTGGGCACCGTTTCTAAACGGAACGAGATGAGAACGGAGCACTTGGCGGCTTCGTGTGAACACAAACGCCGTTACTTTTTTGCATCGCTTGCAAATCAGGCATCTCAGGTCTCAAAAGTGTAAATTCGAATGTTTTTCGTTTAAATTTCTTTGCTCCATATGAAACATATTGGGTTTACATGAGCGCTGCCTAATTTAACTTGTAAACAAATTGAAACGGTGGAGTGTGACATACTGTACGTACAACACATATGCGTACTGTATATATTGTCCTAAGTAAAATCTCTAAGAATTCTCTCGGATAACGCGTCACACGTCAAGACATATATTCGGGAAGTAGCGATTTAAGCGCATTCTCAAAAACTCCAATAAACAACATTTTAATGGAAAATCACAAAATGGAGTCAATATTAAATCCATCAAATAAATTTCTGTGTTCTCTCGGGTTTTCCAACACGGCTGTAATTTAGAATACGACGTTACGTAATCGGCACTCTCGTATGGATGCATGCATGCAGAGATGGTTGGGCAAGAATTGCCACAGAATTGTGATTGACCGATCATGTGACTCTATTGAAGATCGTGATTGGTCCGATTGTGAGACTTGTAAGAGTATGATAACCAGGGCTGGAAAAAGACCATTTGGTCCCAGAAAATGATTAAGTTACCAGAAAAGTTTGGGATATAGAATGAGAAAAGGATGGACAGAAAATTGAATGAAAAAGAAACAAACAAAGCATATAGGTTTGGGAGGGACAAATGGATGCATTGCAAATGTTAGGTTAAAAATGGCTTGGAAAGAAATGGTGGATAAGTTTCCAGGTCAGATAATTAATATTAAACAAAGTATCTACCTCCACTTTTTCCAATGTGTTTGAAGCATTTCCAAAACATGGCAATAAATGAAGCTCGGTTATGAGGAGTGGCATGGATAAAGTTGTACTCGCGAAATAACGTGTGATTTCCTTTTACTACACAGCGAAAACTAGAAAAGAAAAATATTTAGCAGCTGTCGACTATTAGAGCATATACAAGTTGAAATAGATTCCTAATATGTACATGCGCACAATGACTTCATACTAGTGCGTATTTATTAAATGGTGACGAGTTTTTGCAGATGGAAACTTCGAGTGTAAATTTTCGATACATTACTTAGACATACCCAGGAGCAGCTGCGAAAAGGGCAACTATATGCAACAGAAAAAGCTTTTTTGTGTTATTAATGATAGTGGGACAGATTGGTGAAAATTATAGAACAATTGTGATAAAAGCATACATCTTGGCATAATGTTAGGGTATACCCTATGAACATTTTTTTGCTGTAGGGTCAGATTTAGCTCCTGGTGGTACCCGTGGCAGTTTGTTCGAAAGTCGATTAGCTTAACCGTCATTCTCGTCCCCAGAGCCATTTTCACTCGGTCACTCTGATTGGCTTCTGCTATTGCGCAGAAGTAGAGCAGTTTTCTCCAGGCAAAGTTATTCTATCAACATATGTCAACACAAATACGAGGTCGGGAATCTTCGAGTTAAGCCCTTCGAGTTAAGCCCCTCGAGTTAAGCCCTTTTCGAGTTAAGCCCCGACCACGCCCTGTTTTGCCATGACCACGCCCTTTTTCCAAAAGGGCTTAACTCGAAGAACGAAACACGA